GCTTGTATCAGGCGTGGCAGGTGCTGCATTAGCCAGAGTTTATCCATACCTGAAAACTGATCTAGAGCAGGCACACAGGAAGAGTTTAATGTGTAGAGACTGTTAGTGACTGGGTCACTTTTGATTTCCATGGTCGTTGTTGTATGCAGATGGGATTCAGGAACTGGTCCTTCAGGGAAATTCTCCATGAAGGAGGGTGACTCCTGGATTCAGGGCTAACTTTCCACACTGCACAGGAGTTTTGATGTTCAACTGGGGTTTTTTTAATTATGATGGTCATTCTTTTGTGAAAGAGAGGTTGAAGTTAATTTGAGGTGAGAGGAAAGAGGGAATGGGAAACTCCCAGAGCAGTCATCTAGCACCCTCTGCCCACGGGAGGATTTCCCTTTCTTCCCACGCGCTCCTCACAGCATTTCCTTTTCAAACAGGCATCGTCCTCGCTTCCCACTTGCGCCTTGTATCCCTGGATGTTGCTGTTTGTCTGATTTCCCATTTTTGTTGCCATTGTCTGTGTACGTTGCTTAGAGATTTGTCTCTCAGCAAGTGCTGCCCACCTCTAGACTCTCATTCATTTGTTTCGGGGCCTTCGCTCGTGGTGACCCTTTCCAGCCGCGGCTGGGTGGCTGCGTCAGGAGAGGAGCGGGGTCTCTCTCACAGGTGACTGGGGAGCGTTGCCTTGCCAACTCTTCTGTGCTGGAGGAGAAGCGTTTGCTGGGCACCCTCTGCTTGTATTTTGTCGTGTGTGTTATTTGTGCTGGTCATACTGTCCTTCAGAGTGAGGTTACTAAATCTGTTTTTTGATTTTAATGACCCCTTTTTCCCCCTCCCTGTGTCTTTTTCAAGGCACTGTTTGTCCAGCCTGCCTTCTTCTATACTAAGTCTTTTTTTTTCTCTCTGTTTCTGTGTTGATGGCTTTACAGTTAACCTTTCTTAAATAAAGTGGGAGAAATGCATGATGGTCTCTTGTAGGAAAACCTCAATATCTTTTTCCCGTCGCATATTTATTGTTTTGAGCATTTTACGTGTTTTAACTGTTCAGCCATTTACCTTCCTGTGGTCATGCTGATTAGATGCTACATAGGATGGTTCCAGGTGAAGTCGGTGCATTATTTATTTTTTTTTCCTACTACCTCTTCTGATACTATGAATAGGGTTTTTTAGAAAAAATAACTTTTTTTTTAGAGAAAACGCAGCTACACTGAATTTCTTTTTGGTATTTCTTTGCAAGCCCTGTGTTTGTTTGGTTTTTGCCAATGGCCTTTTGACAGGTGCCCATGATCCTGTGACTTGTGTCTCTGTGGAGTGCTGTCCCTCCTGAGATGAGGTGGTGTCGGAGACCGGTTTCTGCAGAGACCCAGCGCTCTGACAGCGCTGTGCTCCTCCCTAAACCTCATTACTGCCTTCAGGCCTTGGTGTTAATCTGCTGCGGCAGTTCCGAGGGTGGCAGATCCAACTTCCGTTGAGCAGCACTGAATAAAGCAGTAGATTTGAAAGATATTTTCCAAATGTGTCTGTACTTTGGAGGTAATGCTGGTTGTTTTTTGTTTTGTTTTTTTTTTTCTCTCTTCCCTTCCTCTCGCCTGTCGTTCACAGATGTTAACGCAGGAGAACGAGTTCAGACCAATAGTGTAGCTACAGCATCAGCCTCCAACTCCACCTGAACCGGTACCAAGCAGCCAGCTGCACAGGAAAAATCACCAGTAATTTGAGTCTTGCTCAGCAACACTGGTCACATTTGGAAAGAAAATTAAAAAGAGGAAAAAAAAAAAAAAAGAAAAAACCAACAAACCAACCAACCTGTTCATTTTAGTGTTCAATTTTTTATTATTATTATTGTTGTTCTTATTTAACCTTGTAAAATATCTATAAATACAAACCAGTTTCATTGTATTCTCACTCTGCAGGGTGTCTGGGGCAGGGGACTAGGTGGGGGGAGGAGGGAAAGTGGAGCAATACAACACACCAGTGTCTCTCCCCTCGACAATCTCTTCATGTTGGAAGTTTTGCTGTTGTGTACTTCAGAACCAGGACTCTTGCCTCATGCCCCCTCCCAACAACAGAAAGAAGGAAAAAAAAAAAACAAAACAAATCAAAAAAAACCCAAACCTCATTCTCTGCTGAAGTTTGTTGTTTTGGATTTTTTTTTAACCTCTTTTTTTATTTTCTTTTTAAGTGAAGTTTCGGACTTTGATGTAGTGCACAGCTTGAATTTGGTCGGGAGCTTAGCAGAGGTCATTCAACAGAGCTCAGCGTTTCTTGTCAGTGAATCCATATCCCAGGTTGTCTGAAGAACAGCCCCGGCTCGGTTTGGGGAGCGGACGACGTGGTAGGAAAATAGGTTAAAAAAATGGGGTGGGGAGGGTTTGCCGTGTGTCTAAGGCTCGAACTGCTGGTGGAAGCCTTTCGTTTAAAAAAGAAAAGAAGAAAAAAAAAAATATCAGTGCTAGCAATGAAGAAACCCGCAGCTTCATTATGGGAAAAGTCTTACCCAAGTGGGTTTATATATATAATATAATACACACACATGCACGAACACGAGCAGTTAGCTTTACCGAAGCAGCAGCTCCTTCGCCCTGCCGGCGTGGAGCCAGAGGACCGGCAGAGGCGGCCGGGCAGCGC